ACTACCTCCATGTTTGGTTCAACTAGAAAATTAGATTAAAACTTAAATTAAACTCAATAATTAACTTTAATTACGTATTTTATGGATCTCATAACTTTTCAACCACACATTTCATTATTTTTTATCAAAATTTATTAAAAATTTAAATTCTATCTAAATCAACAGAAGCTAAATCTAATACCTTTGTTTAATTTTTAAAATATTTTTTGTAAAAAATAAAGAACTTCAAGGCTAGCATAACTATACAGACCTAGTGTGGCATTACGGCACGTACATGTTAGGCAATCTAACATGATGAAAAATAAAAAGGTTACTCCAACCATCACATTGGTTAATGGTGTGATCTATAACTGTCAGGGACAGTGGATAAAATAAAGAGAAAAACACAACAAATATTCGAAACTCATAACAATAATCCTAGGACTCCTGTAGAGCTCTCCCCACTAGGAGGAAGGAAAAACTTCTAGATTTGGAGATATTTGCTGAGAAACCCATTAGGTTTGATTTCTTTAAGCATTTAAACAGGGACAAATTTGTGTCGATATTTTTGGACATAGTTATCAGACTCGATCTGATCATCAACTCAAATAAATCATCGGGTCTCAAGTCAATGGTTCAATCGATAAGTTAGTGGTTCAACCTGGAGGGTGTATCATATTTGATCGATATAGTTCATTTTTTATTAAGCCCCTATTCGAGCTTCATTCTAAGAAAAATCATTTTTTCTTAAACTCATTTTCAATCACATACTATCACAATAAAATAAATTTACACATAAACCCCAAAAAAAAAAATTCTTAGCCCTTGTTTGATTCTCGTTATTTCAAAACTCATTTTCATTTACACATTCTCGCAATAAATTTTTTTACACGTAAACTCAAAAGAACTCTTACTTTTTAACCACACATTCTTAAATAATTCACAACTACAAAACTCATTTTGATGAAAGAATGAGCATCTACCAGGGGCTTACTTTTTAATTACACGTTCACAAAAATCACAATCTCAAATCTATTCTTTCCAAAAAGATGAGGTTCAACATAAAGCCTAAATGGAGTTTGCAAGGTTATGTTAATAGTTGAGTGCCGAGTTTCAGCTATCCACGGTTAAAAGTGTACGTTTGATGAAATTCGTACAAACATGTTTTCGACCCAAGTACAGACCAACCAATCCGAGTACAACAAGAATTTGTTGACCTCGTTTTTTGTACCGTTGACATGGACAATAGATCTCGACTCCACTCACGTCTATGTAAGTTTGCTCCTACATACTTTGACAAACTGTCGCACGTTGCCTTCTCCGACGGTGAAGGAGGCGATCGCATGCACTCCGACGGTCAAGTCAATTGATGAGGAATTTATATTTGGGTGTAGGACAGCATTATACGCGAACCACTTAGGCGTTTAGGCACATGGTGTGTGTGTGTGTATGAGAGTGTGTAAAAATGAAAAAAAATAATCTTACAAAACTTATAGTGTTTAGATTTGCGTTATTCTTCAAATAGCATAAGTTGTGAACTTTTATAGTAATAGAGATGAAGTAACAGTTGTTGGATGAAGAGGCATGTAACTTCATCTCCTTATTCGAAGCATCTCATCATAAGCGGCATATTGTACATATTAAGCCATGCATCATTTAATGCACTCTGGAAAAAGGTAGACACTTTAGGGCCTAAGTTTGAGTAACTATGTAGTAGGCAGACTTGATATTCTTCTGCTACAATATGGGTCACACCAATCATTTGAGTAAAATTTTTATGTAGAAGATCTATCGGAAGAAGTGAATATAAAATATGCTTCCTTATGGTTAGGAGGCTTCCACTTCGGTAATGTGGGACTTCGACCACTTATATAGTGCTTCGGTTTCAAGGCTTTGGCCGCTTACTTAGTGCTTCAGCTTTAATGCTTCGACCATTTACATAGTGCTTCGACTGAAGCGATTGATCACTTTTCTATTGTTGTTTTGTAGCATGTGGAGCTTTTACTTACGCATGGCGCTTCGAGTAAGGCATCGGTTCATCATCTTTACCTATGACTTCGATTCAATTTTTTATGACGCGAAGTGTGGGCCTTTTGTTTGGCTTTCTTGAGCTTTTGTTTTGAGGCGTAACAAATTTTGTTGAGAGGATAAAGTCCATTGTTTCACTTTTGTTAATGTTAATGAAATTGTTATAAAAAAATCGATTAACCAACTTAATTTTAGGGATGACAAAAAAATCCGTCAAATCCGATACCAACGGGGACGACCCGAGGAGTACCCGCTTAATTGGGTATTCGAGTCAGGTTGGGTAGGGACGGGGTGAGGGACTTCGCCCCGAGGCGAATACGGGTAACAAGGACCTCGCCTCGTTTAATTTTAATTTTTTTTTTAAGAATTCAATATTTTAAATAGAAAATTTCAAGAAATTTCACTAGCTCTAATATAAAATGGCAATTGAGATTATTTAGAAAATATGACAAATAATAAGAGTTTTAGTTTATCAAATATATTTGAATAAGTTAAATTAAACATTAAAAAATATATTATTGTCTCACTTTAATAAATGTAGGCAATAAAGTGAATTATCAAAAACTTAAAAATAAAATAAAATAAACGCATAGTAAACAAGGCAAGGTCCTGCCACACCTTTCCTTAAACGGGTAATGGGCGGGAAATTACCCTATGGGGGGTGGGGGAGGTTGTCTCGACCCGCCACGTTGCCATCTCTACTTAATTTGAATTTTGATTCAAAACTTTTTCATACGAGTTTGTTTGTCATATATATAATGCACCACATCTTACAAAAATTAGATAGGTTGTTGCTTTTATTTTTATATATCCGTTTCATAAACATGCATTTATACGTGCAGATTCAAACTTACGCGACAAGATGTTTGCCAAACATATAGAGCTTGTTTGACAATCATCTTGGTAGAAAAAAGAGTTTTAAATAATGATTTTTAGAAGAATGTGTGATCAAAAAGTATAATTTTTTTTTGTATATGTGTATAATATTTTATCGTGTGAATGTCTGGTTGAAAATGGTCTTGCAGCAAATCAAAAAACAAACTAAAGAGGGTCAAACAGGCTCATAGATAACATGTGATATTCTACGTATCTAATGCTACAATAACATGTTGATTATGATACGATTATTAGCAAAATAGTAGGCATTAATAGAATTTTGATCATAATTTTAATTTGACAACTCGTTAACTGATACTGATCATGATATAACGAAATTTATGAAGGTTTCATTTGATGCGATCAATGCGTGCACGGGCTCTACCATCTTTCTGCTCCTATCGTTCTAATTTTTTTTTAGCAAATATGGAGAGTTTTCGTTTGTCAATGACATTATCACTACACAATCCCGATCAATTCTATATCATTACAATGGGTATGAAATTTTAGAAACGTTAGGAGACTTGCACATGTTATTCTCTTTAGCTGCGGTTATGGACCTTTGTATTAACTTATCGATTTGTAAAGACATTATAAAAAATTATTCGCATTTAACATTTCATATCCTATTATGCATTGCAACATAAAAGGTTATCGTTCTACCATTTTAAAATTAGTCCAAATATAGTTACAGTCAAAAATTTTGGTCAACTAATGAACTTATGAATGAAATCCGTCTACTTGTCTAATGTCTTTGTGCTGCAATGAAATGAAATATTTGAAACATGGATGATGGAAATAAAAAGTTTAAATAAAATTGGGATAATTGCAGTTGAGGCGCCAAACCTTTCAAACAGTGGCAGACTTTTTCCTAACCTTTCAAATCGTAACAGTTGAGACCTCAATAGATGGTTTCCATCCAATTTGTCATTAGTTGACCTAAAAAATTAATTTTGGCTACATTTCTTTTTTATTTTTTTGTTTTTGATTTAAGTTTTTAATTATTTTATGAGAAAAAATATGAAATTACTGTTTTGCCATTTTAAAATTGATTAAAATATGGTCAAAATTATTTTTTTGGGTCAAGTAATGACATGCTGGATGGAAAATGTCCATTGGGGCCTCAGCTGTTATGATTTGAAATGTTTGGGATGACGGCTGTAATGATTAAAAGGTTAGGAGAAAATCTGCCATTGTTTGAAATATTTGGGGCCTTAGCTACAATCATCCCAATAAAATTTGCAACAAAATCAAAGATTTTGACCCCAGCTGCAATTCTTATTCTCCCTTGAAATTATGATTTTATCTTTCTGCCGCGTTTAGCCCTTAAAATTTCAATTACCGCCAAAACCAAATGGAACCCGAAATAAGCCAAAATTCGAAGTTCCTGTCATCTCTACCATTTCATCATCTGATCAACGGTTATAAATGACTATCCTCGTCATTTAGAAGCCACCACTTACACACCGCGCACAATAGCCTCTTTGTCAATGAATATTTGTTAATCCTCACCGTCCTCTCTTCAATTTAATCGACGGTTGATAAGCAAAATCCGTGCTCACTTACATCTACCAATCATATCGATCCACAATATTCCTACATAAACACCACTCCACCCTATATTCCCCACAAACAATTCTCTCCGTATACACAAATTCTAATTTTCGGTTCACACTAACTATGGCACCAAAAGCCGAGAAGAAGCCTGCCGAGAAGAAGCCTGCTGCAGAGAAGAAGCCTGCGGCAGAGAAGGCCCCAGCGGCAGAAAAGGCACCGGCGGAGAAGAAGCCCAAGGCCGGGAAAAAACTCCCCAAAGAAGCCGGCGCTGCAGCCGGTGACAAGAAGAAGAAGCGTACGAAGAAGAGCGTTGAAACCTACAAGATCTACATCTTCAAGGTTTTGAAACAGGTCCACCCTGATATAGGGATTTCAAGCAAGGCCATGGGAATCATGAACAGTTTCATCAACGATATATTCGAGAAATTGGCCCAGGAGTCCTCAAGACTCGCCAGGTACAACAAGAAACCTACCATTACTTCTCGCGAAATTCAGACTGCTGTTCGTTTGGTTCTGCCTGGAGAATTGGCCAAACACGCTGTTTCCGAGGGTACCAAGGCCGTTACAAAATTCACAAGCTCCTGAAAAATTTCCTAGGGTTTCTGATTTCTTATGTTGTTTGCAGTTTCAATTTAGGGTTTTTGTATAAATGGTTTATTATTATTCGAATCTGTAAAACAGACGGTTAGTAATTTATCTATGAAAATTCGACTTTCAGTTCGTAGGATTCTGTACTCAAATCGTCTCCTGGTTCAGTTTTTGATTTTTTTTTTTCCTTTTGCTTTAAATTAGAACACTATTTGATGCATTTTTGAGGGAATATTGCATGGCTTGTCTCGACTCTTTTTACCCTATAGTAAGCTAATCAACTGTTAAAAAGGAACAAATAAATCCTCAATTGCACATTGAATTATTAATTATGGAATTTGTCTAAATAAATCCTATCAATTATGACCCTTAAGACTTTTAAAAGAATTGATTAGGAGTCTTGTGCTTCAAAGAGGCGTCACTCAAGAATTTTAAGCAGGTGGGCACCCCGTCTGGCTTAGGAGATGATAACCACAATGGAGAGGAGGAACTGCGAGTCAGAGTTGATGGCACTTTCGGGCTTGCAAACAGTCACCATGCTTGAGTCATCATTCTTAAGAGAGCCACAACCCCCTACTTTAAGGCATCAGGAAAATGTTGAGAGGCCGAACGCCCAGGCTTCATCTATTTTGTGGATGTGGCGGGAGCTGGAGGACGGGCACTCCTTGAACCATGCACAGGAGAGATTGGGATAGCAGAGAAATGTGGATTCTAATACAATTGCATCAGTTCAAATATGTCAGAAAGCAGGGGGAATGATAATCAGGGTAGTCTCGACGGTGCTAATTTGCTATTGAGAGCGAGAATGACTATACAACTTGGTCGAATGATCAGGGTGGCTTGCAGAGTGAGAATAGGGGCCTTTTACAATTCTAGTCTGCAGCAATCTCCAGATCTTGGGGAAGTTGAGAGGGAGAGGGTGAGGCAAATTGTTTGGGGATGGATGGAGAGTGGCATTAGTGTCCAGAACCTATTGTTATGCCAAGGAATGGCACTCCTAGGTCTGAATGGCTTGGGAAAACGGAGCTTGAGGGGGTGAGGATTGTGTGAGAGTGGATGCAAATGACAAGTCAGCACAGAGCATCCCATAGCAGACACATGGAAGGACCAGATGATGGTCTTGGCACTCAGATTGACCACGCTCATGATGGGTTTCTTGTGGACGAGGAAGATCAGCCAGAACATATTCGGAGAGACATGTTGAAGTTGCGGGGAAGACGAGCTCTACTTGATTTACTAGTAAGAATTGAGAGCGAAAGGCAGCGGGAACTTTGTAATGACCCAAATTTTTACTTTTGTAAACAGAATGTTTTCATAAACAAAAGAAAAAAAAAAAAAAAAAACATAATATTTGCTTATCATGTGAGGACTGAAAATTAATTTTAAGAAAAATACAATAAACATTATTAAAAATTCTAAACTTTTGGGAGTGTTTACATTAGGTTATGAGAACTAAATTGAACTTTAGTACAACTTTTCACCCTCGGATGGACAATCTAAACGAATAATTCAAACATTAGAGAATATGCTACGATTGTGTGTCTTTGAGTTTGATGGACATTGGAAAAAACATCTACCTTTAATTGAATTTGCATACAACAATAGCTACCATGCCTCCATTGGCATGTCACCCCATGAGACTTTGTATGAGAGTAAATGTAGATCGCCTATTCATTGGAATGAAATGAGGTTGATGAACGTAAGATCTTGGTCCCAGAAATCGTAAAGCAGACAATATAAATTATTGAAAAGATTAGAGTTAGCATGAAAAATGCCCAAGATAGACAAAAAAATTTATGCTAATGAAAGGAGAAATAACTTGAAATTTGCGGTAGGAGATAAGGTACTCTTAAAAGTTACACCCATGAAGGGGGTACTACGATTTGGTAAAAAGGGTAAGCTCAGACCAAGATACATCGGTCCTTTCGAAATTTTAAAGAGGTTTGAAAATGTTGCATACATATTAGCTTTACTCATTCGTTATATGTTAAAATTTTTATAGGTAACTAAAAAAGATGGGTTTGAGGTGATCGGAGGTGGATTGTGTTTGCATGAGTGAAAAAGAAGAATAAATTATGGAGTGAATGATTTTAATAATGTTCATTGTATTTCTTAAAACTAATTTTAAGTCCTCGCATGTTAAGAAAATATTATGTTTTTTATTTTTTGTTTATGAAAGTATTCTTTTACAGTACATGTATAATGATTCCAAAGGTAAAAATTTGGATTTCTACTCTAATTCTTAAGTAAGTTCTGATTGTCTGCACACACACACATCAAACTTATGCAGGGATTCTGAAATCACGTCTAATTTTTTGTTTTCCGAGTTTATTTGAAAATTCATGGCTACAAGCCATATTCAGCAATATAATTATGTATTATATCAAGTCATCCCTGTGTAGGAACATGTTGTCTTCAAACTCAAACTACTGCGGGTTGCTCAGCATATTTAAGTTGAGAAGAAACCTTTTTTAAAATCTGTTTTTAGGTTCTTGTGGGTTGCCTCCTTGACAGGTGGTTTTAGTTTCAATGTACCTTCTTGATATCAAAGCTGGTTTCGTGTGGATAAATTTGAGCTTAGACTCGATGGTTTATCTGATATTCAAAGATACACTTTTTTTACTTTCTGGTTATATTGACTTGTATATTACTTGTCACCAATAACTTTATGCTTGTAAATCATTAAGGCCATGTTTGATAGCATGGAAA